ACCCGCTGAGGAAAAACCCTTGGGTTTTAATACTCCTCTTTCTCTCTGAGAATTTCTATCTTTCTTTCTTTCATTGCTCATTGTGGCACGCATGCCATTTTGGAAGAGAGTTCTCACCTCAGCATAGAAATGTTTCATCTCAAGTTAAAGATGATCAATTGAACAGCTTTGTATGTATTTGCTGTGACACCCTCACCTTCCACGCTCCCCAAGAGGACAGATGTGGCCAAAATCTGGCAGGAAAATAGCCAGCATGGCATAACAGAGCCACCAGATCCTTCCTCTGTGTATGGGGTTAAGGGTTCAGGGTTTTCCTTTCATTTATCAAGAGTCTGTATGTGCTTGTATGTTGAGCCAGCCTGGGTCACTTTATCTTGTTGGAATTAGACCCTTAGCTCCCATTCTTATCACTCTGTCCTGTTTGCTCAGACCTTGCAGTCTTCCACTTCCCAAATGTGGGTTTAAAAAAACAGGGTTAACCCATTAGCTGCTAGTGTTCTTTTTTTTTTATACCCCATTCATCCAGCTGCTTACGTTTCTGTGCCAGTGGTTCCTCAATTTCTCTCACCCACTCATGGTTTCCTGCTATCTATCCCAGCAGGTAGTGTCTACTTAGACTTAGCTGTTAAATGAACCCAAGGAATATATCCACACAAATGCCAGAGTCTTTTTTTTTTTTTTTAAATAAGTGGACTTTCTTCCAGAGGTTTTATCGGTGGTCCCTGTGAGATCTATTCTTCATAATTTGGTTGTACATATAAAGTGCTGTTCTATATAATTGATCCATTTGTTGTAAATACAGACTTGGAGGCAGACTGTTGCAGTTTAGTCCAAATGGAAGACTAAACCTGAGGGGTTAGCGGTGTGTAGCTCGTATGCCTTATAAATAAATATTGGAGCCATGTTTCTGGTTTTGAAGCACTGTGGGAGGCAGGTGACAGAGGTTGCTGGATGCGATAAATACTCATGACTACTTACACAGGAATGAATGGCCATTGTGCCTGTTCCCACCGACTACAAAAGCCAGATGTTGTTGGGGTTGTTGTCCAGTAAGCCCTCGTAAAGGTGGCAGTAAAACTGCAGAGGAAGTTGTCTGCTGTTGTCAAGTTCTCAGAAACTCCTGAGTTAACCCCTTTTCCCGACATACTGAGATATGGAAATGTTTCCCAGAGAAGGAGCAACACCATGGTATAATTTGTTTGGTGTAAATGAGTTTGTAAAGCATTTTGACTGTCAAAAAAGGAAGACAGACAGGGCGTGAAACCTGTTTGTTTTCTTGCCACAGGATCTTGTACACACAGAATTTCTTAGTGGAGCAGCAGCTTCTAAATATTCTAAATATTACTCATAACTAGTCGAAGACTGTGTGGAGACATTTCCCCCATGAACGCTGATTTCTCACGTGTAGTACAGTACAAAGAAGACCCAGAAGGGGGTTTTAAGGGAAATCACCCATTGCCACTCAGACAGCTTCACTGCAAATTTCACAGCAAGCTGTGGTCTAGATACTAAATGCTTTATCACTCACTCAAGAGTCAACCTCTGGCCATTTTGCTGCAATTAAAAAGGAGTAGTGGCAGTGCATCAGTTCTTTTAAGCGCTCTTAACTCCCCGAATCCTGTTGTTAATAAGTACCCGGCTTTATGATTCCAATATAAACCAGAAGGTCCCCCCCCACCCCTTCTGACCAGGATTTAAAAACTAGTCATCTAGCTACTCTTCACAAGTCAGAGCTCCAAAACGAATAAAGGTGTTCTTGAAATAATAGCATCTGAAATGATCCATGGAAGCATGAAAATGTTGTTGTTTTTTGCTGACAGACAGCAAAGACGATTTAAAAAAACATTTGGCGCACAGGCAAAAATATGTGATGCTCATGCAAAAAGTGAGAAGCTTATATAGTTCTACTGCACAGATGTATAAGTGTTAACATCTTACTCGCTTATTACTTGGTTCTTTTTTTTAAGGTTTCCCACACATCTTTTTTTTTTTTTTTTGAGCTTATGTGGTAATCAACAGCAAATATTTGAGGTTTTGGCAGATAGCAGGGAAACCAAGGAAAACTGAAGCTGATTTGTTGTTTCACATTAAAAAGAAATATCTTATCTCATAACTGAAAACCTAAAATCTGAAAAGCTGAATCTCTGGTTAGGACCAGACATAAAATGAGAAAAATTCGACAATATTCAGATTTTCTTTTAGTTCAGGCAGTATACAACAACAGCAATGTAGTCGTTTGCAATGCATATAGAAAGTCTTTAGAAGTAAGCGAACCTCCTCATTTGGGGAAGTGGAGAGAACATATGTAGTGGTGCAATATAATTTGCACCATCTAGCATGAAGGAAATCATGTTACTGATCATCAGTGGCATGAAACAAAGAGACCACTTCTGCTTCCCCCTGCACAGGAAGAGTCAACAGACGAGCTTTGTTGTAATCACTTCTGTCTTTGAAATTACATATATGACAAGATGACAGGGAGAGAGAGAGAGGGGGGGGCGCAGTATCCGGAGCTGTAATGCTCATGGCACAAACATGAAGTGAACACCAGAAATTGCGTGACTGTGATGTGTGACTTCTTAAAAAAAACACTTTAAGCAAAATGCGCTATCAAGATAACGTGTGCGAGTGCGTTGTTGAATTTGTTTGTCATTTAGTGCTTTATTGCTACTGGATAGTCGAGAGTTTGCTTCCTGTCATTCTCGGCGTCTTTCCCCTTGGATCCCTCTGTAAATACAACGTGCACAAGTTGTTTCAGTCGAACCAGATCCAGCTCATTGAGGCGCCGTAATCCTGCTTTATTTTCCATCTGACAACTGCAGGCGTTCAGTTGCGTCTCGATTGCCCCTAAAGAATGCACTGAATCAATATTGAATATCTGTCAGCTGCCTTACTACATCTGCTCCGTCAGTTGTCACTTCCTTCGCCCTATGTGGAAACAAAGTTTCACAGCTCTTGTTTCCTTGCGCAACATTTCTCTTAACACCATGGTATAGAGTGGCTGAAATATTTCTATTGTGGTTTTTATTGGTGCATGATAATGTCGGGGTGAGGGGATGTAACTTGCACTATATCAAACACCTCTGAAGCTTTTCGAGTCTTAGTAGTGGAAGAAGTTTGTGCTTCTGAAGTGCATTTTCTCAGAATGAGCTGCAAGGGTTCAGCTCTGCTGCTGAATTTGACTTCTTGCTGCATCTAACTCCAGACTGTGACTCTGTAATACTCGGTGTATAAGAAGTGTATACTTATTTTGGAGGTACAGGAACATAAACGGCACCTAAATTTATAGTGTCATGTGCAAATTTTCATTCATCGGTCTGGTGTGTCATTTGTGTCGTGCACAATTAATTCTCTGTAGATTACTAATGTTGTGCAAATGTAAGTTGATCTTTCGCATGAGTCACACAGGTATAATGTTGCAGAAGCTGTTGTTTTCCATTTGAATGTCTTGTTGAGAAACTGGCTGATTGGAAAAACACATCTCTTGGCAATTGCCAGGATTCTTGTATTCTTTTCAAGTATTCACAGCTATGTAAACACAAGATATGGAAAAAGGTTAATTTTCCTGTGAGTGGCACCATGGCTTTCAGTTGGAAGCCTCAAGAAACTGCGGGCCTGAAAAGTGGATACGCTGTTTACCCTCTCGTGCCTACATGTAATTATACTACCAAACCCGTGAAACTCTGGTGAGATTTCCTGTGTAATTCCAGTTAGCCGCACGCTGGAGAAAAACAACCCCTGTGCTCAAGAAAATACCTGTAATGATGAGGTATGCTGTGCCCAGGTTTGCTGCGCTGGTCACATTTTCAAAGGGGATTCATAGATGTTGTCATCTGTAAGAAAAGCAAACGCAAGCCTGAGATATCAGCTGAAAAAACAATTATAGAACTGTGTTCGTGTGCCGCTGCGTTGCATGTAGTTGTGATACAGATTGAGCTAACCTCGAAAAGACGATCATTCATGCTTTCATTTAAAGGATACTCAATGAGTAGACGCAACACAAAATCTGAAGTTTGTGAAAGACAAAGATCGTGCCAGATGGTGGTTATCGAGATCAGTTTCTTTCATATATTAGTCAGCATAGCCGAATGAGTACTGGCGTACAGTCACTGCTGCTTCTTGTCATGACTGGAGCTTGGCATGTCCAGCACCTGCACTTGAATTTCATTTCCCCTCGTGCTGTCGACTCTGCTCTTATCTGTATGTGACTGATCTAAACACAGCCTCCCCAAACCCACGCCTCTTAGCATTTTGACCAGATTCTAGGTTAGCGGGGTTTAGCAGGGGATCTTTGCGACGTCGTTACTGTCGATAGGTTGAAGGTCACTGCTTATAGTACAGCCTGCTTTGCATACCTGGGCACTTATGGAGCAGGTGTGTAGGAGAACAACGGCAACCTACGTGACTTTCAGAAAACTCCCCACTGTGTGTCTCACTCTTAAAGGGGAAAACACAGCAGTGAAGCCTCAGTGATGTGACACTTGTGTGAATATTAATTCAACCTGAGACAGCCTTGTCTAAAATCTTTTGCCAGTAGGCTGAAATTCATCTTGACTCCTAGCCAACCAGGTAAAAAACGTGATGGTTCTTCCTGTGATTTCACTTCCTCTTGTTGTTGAGGTTGAAACAGTTTGTCCTGTTCCTCGCGTGTTTTGTTTTTTTTGACTAATCCTTCACAATGTACGTTGCCTTTAAAGACTGTGTATTTTGTGTTTCACAGGAATCTCGAATTACAATTTGCATTTTTGTTAGTAATATTAAACATTTTGTTCTCCTTTGTGTTTTCCTTTTTTGAGTAGACAGGGTAGCGCTGAGATTTTACAGAACTTTTGTTTATTCATAAATAGTGATAGTGAATAGTTTTCTTGCAGGATTATTGAAACCAGAAAATCAAAAATGGAGAAACTACTAGATGAGTATCACGGGTGATCTGAACAGGTAATGATCTTTACAGAGAGTGGGAAGTGGCAATCTGACGCTCTGTTCTTTCTCTTCCTCAGGTCTTTGTAGGCTGTCAGCAAAGACTTGTACTCCCTCCTTTACTTCCACGTCTTGTGCCTCTCTGAACCAGCCACCTCTGCTACCGGCTTCGGTTTCTCCCCAACTGTAGGAAAAACCACTGAGACAAGAGAGAGGCCTCTGTCTTCAGAACTGCAGCCAACCTCTGACTGCATGTCAGCGAGCTCCTCTTTTTTTCACCTTTCACTCCCCCTCAGAAACCCACATTTCATCATAACCGTAACCTCCAGACCTACAGCGAGCTGCTAGCTGCCTCCTCGCAGGTTCAGTTGGCTATTGCTCCCCTATTGTTGACCCCTGACTGGCCTTCGACTGGTGCTCCTTCAGCAGGGGAGGGAGGGGAAAGAAGGCCTCTGAACGCTTTGCCACTTTCCCTGGAGATGAAGTTGCAGGCCGTCATGGAAAATCTGCACAGGCAGCAGAGGGCCAAGCTACTGATGGAGCAGCAGCTACAGCAGCAAGCCGCCTCCCAACAGACTCAGGTCCGTATGGCCGGAGGGAATGAGCTGATAGGGAGCCCGGCACCTGAGACAGAGCAAACTCAGATAGCGGCTCTTGCAGCCATGCGTGCCGCGGCGGCCGGGCTGCAGAGGGTGTCAGACAGCCCCATGTCAGAGCGCAGCAGTGGTGGTGACGAGGAAGGCGATAATGAGGACAACGATGAAGGAGAGGAGCAATACAAGGACATGATGGGGTCAGATGAAGAGGAACAGATGTAAGTGAATTTCTTTGCTGGACCTTTCTGAAAATTTTTGTGATTAGTTTCTGTGTGTAGTGTAGTTTTTCAATATATAAATGTATTTGTGACGCACACAGCAAACAGAAATGGGACGAGGAGGACTTTGAAGGTGAGATGGAAGAAGACTTTGAGGATGACCTTGAAGAGGAAGGTCTGCCTACGGGTCATGATGCAGTGGCCCCTGGCAAGGGCATCCTCCTGCTGCCTCACCGTCAGCTTAACCCCCATTCCCAGCTCCTGAAGGTCCGTCCCAGTGTTGAGCAGGAGTCCCGCTCAGCAGTGGGAGCACATCTGCATTCACATACCACGCATAGCCATTTGAGTGGGCAGGACCACGGAGACTGGACCTACGAGGAGCAGTTCAGACAGGTACCATCACTTTCTGTCGGTGCAGACCTCTGTGTGGAGGTCTGCACCAACAATTAGAGGTTAAAGTGGGATTTGGCAGGTGGGGGAACCCTAAGGTCAGATGTGTGTGTGTGGGGAGGAACAGCTACGTTGTGCATTATATAATGCTGTGTTACATTTGCCATTGTGGCTTGCATTTTTCTCCAGCTTGGGGAGCAAAATGATCACACACTAACATATGTTTTTTTTCTGTGTCTTATTAATCGAGCTATTTGAATCACTCAGTCCACTTCTGTACCTCGAACACACCTTTATATCTACACCATGAACAAATCACAGAAATGAGACAAAAAAAGGAAGCGTGCAGGCAGGATCTTGGAGTGACCTCACTGACTCTGTGACACTGGCTAAAATGAGCCATTGCAGTTTGTGAAAATGGAAATGTGCCGATCAGATTTAATTGCTCATTAACCGAAAGTGTCTGAGCACCATTCTGGATCATTCTGGCCCACTTTAACCCCCCTGCTGACAACAATCTCCCAGATACCAGGCGATTATGTGAATGCAACTGGATGTACGTATTTCAGATTCAGTCCGAGCTGGGTAAAATGGTTAAGCAAACTGGTGCGATATGATAAAAGTGAATCAGAGTAGAGGTTGTCTTACTATTAAGATGTGACCAATTCAGTAATAGCACTGTAAATTATAATACTCTGCCGTGCATAAACACTTATTTCTTATATCTTTGCCCCAGCTGTAGTTGCCATTTAAGTCTTTTGAAGGTCCGCAGCTTTAACTGTTGCTGTCATTACTGCTGATTGATGGTATTAAGGGCTGTAGACTGGAGGGACTCTGGCCAAAGAAGCAGATTAGTCTAAAATATTTGTTGTTTACCAGTGGGCCACATCTGGCCCTCAAGCCATTCACATTAAAACTCTGTTGCACTTTCTCAGCGGCATGTGATGTAATCTGACCAGGGTGGGAAATTAGCACTAGCCACCGGGCAAAATGTTGATAAAGGCTAAGGTGAGGGTTTTCAGTTTGCCTTTGCCACTTCACGGTCTGGTCAAGGCAGATGATTGAAGAGACCATTTCTTCTGGTGGCAGCTTGGTGCCTGGTGAGATTTTTGATTTTCCAACTAATATGGACTAAGAATGAAAGAAAGTTGTTCCTTGGAACAGTCTTGAAGGACTGGAAGCTGAGGAAGAGGAGCTCAGAGGGATCAGGAAGGGCTGTGGGTGGGTTAGAGTGCATGTTAACAGCTTTGCCATGCTGGCGTTTACTGTAAACATGCTAGTGGGCTGGATATTATGAGGGAGGCCCTGGTGGAATAAAGACGGGCTGTTTACGTGAAGAGATTTAAGACTGTCAACAGCTAAGTTTGGATAGAGGGCAGCTGTCGATAAAAGGGGAACGCAAGCGGGAAGACGGTTGGTTAAAAGTTTATTTCAGGTGATATAAAACTGAATTCTTTACTGTATTTACGGTATTTTTAAATTTGACACAAACAGGACACACAGATAATGCGGTTTTCCTACAAGAAAAGCAAAATACAAACCCTAATACTTAGATTAGTAGCAAAATAAGCTTTATTATTTCTAAAATGTGCAATTATGCAAATTGCAAAACTGCTCACAGAGAAGTATTTTTAGCCTCCTTAAATAAAAAAAACAACAAAACTACTTCTGCATGATGTGACAACTAAATGTTGTTTTGCCAGTTTAAAAATGTAATATACACTAAGCCGCCATCACATTCAGCAGTTTATTACATAATGAAAGCCACCATTAAAGTGCAACCTCACGTCCTGTCGCACAATTCTAACCATAAAACATATTTTATCAGGACAGATAACAGACAAGCTGCTAAACTGGTTCAGAGGAAAAGAGAAAAAGCTTTTAATACAATTAACTTTAGTTTTTATTTGTTTTTAAGTCAAACGTCTTTGCCACGTTGCTCCTAGCTGACATGTGCTCCAGTTTTAAACCAAACTATAGATTATGTCATTTAAGGCACATTTCTTGTAATTACAGAGCATGTGGACTCAAACTCTCTAAAACCTATAGTCTGCTTCTCTAAATAGTCCACCCCTCCCTCTGTAAATGTTGTGTGAACGACTTGAATGGATACTTTTGGGTTTTTATTATTATTATTTTATTTTTATCATGGCACCTCAGTCAGCCGAGGATCAGACAGGGCTGTGTTAGTGCAGCAGACCGTTATATAATCAAGACAGTCAGCACCGTGACTGGTCAGATACCCAATAGATTGGGTAACACTGCGTCACGCCTACACAACTTAAAGCCTGAGAAGAGGGAACTCAGCATTGTGGCATGATATAGGGAATTGGGTAACAACAGTAAAATCTGTGTCGAGCTCACGGTGTTCCTCGACAGTCTTTAACGTTGTAAAACCAGGTTTTTCCAGTCTTGAACATCCACTTATTTTGCCCTCAGATGATTACAGTCGATGGAAATAATTGCAGCCGTGGCCTGGCACGACGAAGACAGTCTGTCCCCTGATAATTCTAACCTCAAGCAAATCAAAATTGTTGACCTCAGCCTTAATTTGTATGTGGCGTGCACCAATTTTATTTTGCTTCTTCTTTTTTTGTTCGGAACCTAATGTTTGTGGTTTCTCCCCGTCATGTGGAAAACGGTAAAATCTGCAAACGGCTGCAGCGCAAACTTGACTTGACGCGCTCTGAGCGCATAGACATGCGCATAGCACAGTCATAGATGCCCCTGTGCAAAAAAAAAAAACCCAATAAAACCTGCTTATTAAGGGCTTCATGGGATTATATGTACCGTTGAGTATTTGTGCAATCATCTGAAACATATAAAAATACTGTATGATGCAGCTATCAAGGCCAGGAAAGCTACACCCACAAAAAAATCCCTGTCACCACCTGTCCATACCACCAAGCCCTCGTGGCAATTAAAAGACACGTGAGGCTGTAATTTATGTTGGTTAAAATATTGCACTTGTCATCACTGCGCAAAACGGGCAACTAGTGCTGCATCAGAGCAACCCTGAGCTGATGGTCCGTTTTTATCAAGATATCATGAAAAGTTTTCGGTGTAGACTTAATATCTCTATCACAGAAGGGGGCGAAAAGAGGGTCTGATGGGTAGCACTAACCTCCTAGCTTACAATTACACGTGTTCAGACATGTCATATGCTGGTAGGGTGCTTTGGAGGGCACTGGGTGGAGAGGAAGGGGTTAAGAGTGTACAGTTTATTTTGGGCAGGTGGGTGGAGGCTGTTGGAATGTGCCTGATGGAGGGTGATAATGTGGCCACTAGGAAGCTCAGATCCTCAGCAGAAACTTTGCGTGCCTCTATCAGTGCAGAGCAGTTGGAGCACTTCCAAACTGAAAACTGCCCTTTTTTCTTCTTTATGTTTGTACAGCACAAATAATGTCTCAGTGTGGCACCACAGGTCCATAGTAGTGGTTACAAACACAGGGGACAGGAGAGAATGTATAAGAACATTGTACAGAAACAGTTACAAAAAAAATGCATCCTTAATCACTTTACAAGACAACAACAGGATCATAAAAGCTCTAGTGCACAATATAAATCCAATAAATGCAAGATGTGGATTCAGCGAACTAAAACCAGCCCACACCCAGCTTTTAGTCAAGGTTTGCCCCAGGCTGTGGTGGAAAGATATATCAGCAAACCTGCATTCCTGGTGGATCACCCAGCCACCTTCCCTCTATCTCGCCTCTTTCGCCTGAAAGGTCAGACTAAATGAAGCCGAGAGGTCTGCCCTGGTCGGATGTCTGATTACGCTGTGGTTTTAAATTAATTAATCAGACTATTCAAGGCATTTTGCCAGCTGCCTCATATCTGGCCGAGGCAGAGCGGTGCCAAGTGAAATAAAAGAGCGAGGATTTACACAGATATCAAATAATGCCAGGGTTGTTGGATTATTTGATTTGTATGTCTGGTGAAGCTATTTCAGTGATACCACTGCAAACGGAACACATGTATGAGCGTCCCTGATATGTCTGACTCTTGGAATTATCTGTATCAGTATCACACTCCATTTTTATTCCCAGCAAGTTATTAAAATAAGCCTATAGCTAGGAGACCTGCATGCATTTGTTTCCATCAATCTCCACTGAAATACTGGGCGATTTGAGTGGAGGCTTTGTTATGGCATAGTTATTGATAAAAACTTGGAAAGCTTTGAGAGAGAGTTAAAAATCCAAATCAAATTAGGAATCGAAATTCTTACATAAAATGAAGGATAACTATTTATAGCAGCTTCATTTATTATTTCATGCATTCTGGTGTTGACCTGATCACCTTTTAGAAATACTGAGCTTTTCAAAACAAAGTTGATGTGCAATAACAATCAGGTTTCAGTTATTATGTTGTCTCTTTGTGGTGCACATGCCAGCATAAAAGGCTACCTTTTTTATGAACACTATCCTCCTCGGGCCAGAGGCCATGCAAAGCCTTTGAAGTATCCCGTCCTGTGTCTCTGTCTGCTTTAAACACCAGCAGCTGGGCAGATGGAGCCCAGATGGACAGTAAAGAAGGGATGTCTTTAAAAATTCATGGCACTCACAGTGATCAGGGCAAATGGAGAGAGGGGGAAGGGGGACTGGCATTAAACATTAAATTGCTAACACACACATATATATTAGGAGGTATGGGGGCGAGGGGCTGTCTGTTAGTGACTACAGGAAGCGTAGCTCCAAAGAGAGCCAATTGGGAGCGACACTTATTGGGATTGCCCATCAGGTTTCTGCTGATACAGCTGCTGAAAGGTGCTCAGTGGGTTTATGTTCTACTTTTAGCAAAGCCGTTTGTTCTGATTTGATGTAAGTGAGTTTCATTTATTTATCACAATTCTGTTTATTCCTTCTGCTTCTGTATAGCCCACAAGCTCCTGTTGAAGGGTTTGTAATAAAATGCAATGAAATGGAACTTAAACCACATCTTACTGCCCTTCTTGGATTCCATAATCAGCTGACCCTTTTACTGTTAATGACTGACTAATGTCA